TATTTTTTTGTTTATTTATTTTTTTTTACATTTTGAAATTGGTTAGAGACTTTAAGTTTACTGGGAGTGAGTTCCAAATTGAGTCCAATTTCTTGTGTGATGTATACCTGAAGCAACTTTACACATTTCAAGAGATAAGTCTTTGCCATTTCTTCAAATCCACTTTTTAGATTTTCTAACCTGTCATTCTCTTTTACTGAGCATATTATGTCACTACTTTTATCGGTCATGTCAATAAAAATCCCAACAAAATGCATTAGATACTAACTTGGAAAAACTGTAAAGTGAATGAGTAATTAAAAAGTGTTTGAGGGATGCAAAAGTCTTTCCACTGTACATACAATTTCTCCATGTTATGTAAAAATAAGATCAAAAGACATGTTCTAAAAAAGTACCTAATTTTATTTGCTTTGTCAGTAATTCTTGCCTCACTTTGTGTCACACCTGCAGACTCCGACCACAGCAGCAGAATCAACACAAGATTCATCAGAGACTACAGACATGCCCCCTGGCTTCTTGTTCAAGGTAACACAGACAAAAGAAATAAAATACAAACACTGTATAGCTGAGGATATAATGAACAGATACATTTAAAAAGCTAACTGATATCAATTTTTATGATTAAAAAAAAAGGTCCAGGTAATGCATGATTATGCTGCCAATGACACAGATGAGCTGGAGATGAAGGCTGGTGATGTGGTGCTAGTAGTCACATTTGAGAATCCAGATGAACAGGTATGTGATCTCATTGTCTCTAAAATAGCAAAGGAATCCCACCACCTAATGCTGCCACTCTATCATTAAAACTTTATACTAACACCACTAAAACACCTGTTGTCATTGTGTGACAGAATACTGATAGGGAAAATACAAATTCATTGTCACTGTTTTCTTATTTAATGTTGAAGGTAGATGATTTTTTCCAAACTGGAAAAATAGCTCAAATAAAGAGCTACTAGCACTGGATATGTATTGACTGTCCAGAAGCACAAAAGCAGCTGTGTCATTTATTTGTCCTGTTTCTTCCTGTAGGATGACGGCTGGCTGATGGGACTGAAGCAGGACGATTGGCAGCAGAACAAAGAAAATGCCACTAAAGGAGTATTTCCTGAAAACTTCACACAGAGGCTGTGAAAGAAGGGGCACGTTCCTTTGTTGATACTCTGTTCCTCTTGCCTATTTATGTCCTTCTCCTCTCTTCCTCCTCAATACTGTATCCTAACAAGGACTTTGGCCATATAAACAGAGCTGCGATAGCCCTGGATGAAGTCATGCATTTCTAAGATCTGCTACACTGTGGATCTTTCTATTTATGTTTCATTTCTGTTTTTTCATGATGTAGCCATTTCATGGGTCTGTTTGCCATCACACTATTTGAGGAGTCCTGCTCATTCAGGATCAGGTATACTGATAGTAACCTATTCAGTGGCTACAACAGAAATCAATTTCTGATGACTTAATCTTTGTCATGTCGCACCAACTGAAATTTAAGATTTGTTATTTTTGTGGCAGATTGAGAACCATGTAAAATATGTAAGATGTTGCCAGATGTACTAGAAAACACGAAAAACCATATTGTTGTAAAAAGTAAGTACATCCTCTATCAACTATAAGGTTTACTTGAGAAGGACAGTGCAATATGTCCCAACTTAGTTTGTTAATAGGCATGAACCAGTTATCCGTGTCAAGGTGTATAGAGGTCTTAAAAAAGTAGATTTTAAAAAACACAAAAATGTTTAGCTTTACCACTCATAGGTTTAAAATTATTTTACTAAGATGCAGGGGAAAGTATGAAAAGCCGTGCTGACCGTCCCCCATGTGGTACCAGTCAGCTGGCTGAAAGAAGGCTCTTACCCTGCTTCCCTTCTTACAAGATGGGGGAATTTGGCTGTTTTCTAGGTATTTTCAGGCATGAAAAACACAGACAGTGTAGTGCACTCTTACCAAAACACTTTTCCGCAACTAAGCTTGCGTGGTTAGAGCAACATAATTTTCCTATGCAGTAAGATTACAAAGCCTCTCCTGAATTATGAGGCTGTTTATTTTGGACTGTTTCTTGTACCTAAAACTGACTTATCAATATGTAAATGTACAGTAGCATTATTATAACTATAATAAATCAATGCATTTTATTGATTTAACAGCAGTACAAATGTGCTTCTGTTCGAGTCTGAGCAAAGCCAATTAGATCATATTAAATATTTTTTGGCAAGTATGGCAAAACCGTGGTGGTTCCAATTCCTACTTGTTCAATTCCCTAAACCCTGGAAATAGCCAATTTTTTGGGTGGAGATTAAGTTCTGGTATATAAATGTTTTGAAGTGAAAGAGGGTGTACTTTCATTTTACATGTGAATATAATGTAAAACAAGGCGTAAATTTTGTTTCACAAAGATAAAAAGGGGCAAAAGTGCTATTCTCTAGCTGACCAAATGGACAAAAATCTTCACTTATTAGTCTAGTCACAAAAGTATAAAATAAGTACCATTCCAGAAAATGCAATTTTATTTCATTAAAGCTAAAATAAAAAAAATAGAAAGAAACACTTTTAATGATTCTCCCATCTGATCAGTCAAGATGCTTATCTCATTGCTGGTGGAGTTAATTTGATTGATGATTTAACTCTTCACACATTGCCTTCAGGACATGTCCAGCAATTCCTATATTCTTACTTTCATTGTTTACTTGTGGAAAAGGGGCCCTTGGTTGTCGTTGTGTTAGTATCGACTCTCTAGTGGCATAAGTACGATCCTGTTGTAAAAAAGATTCATATATTGACAAATGTAGAAGCAGCAAATTCAGACAGACAACGGGTCTCCAACATCAACAAATCCCCCAGAAGCTAAAAAATAGAGATCTCTATAATATATTTTGAAATAGTTTGAAGTTGTGTGATATGATCTTGTTTTCACATGATTCCAGATATGCATTGCTCAGGCTGGCCATAAAGCTAGCCAGCATCACAGAGAAGCTGCTGCTGGCAGTATAATAGATGACAGACTAATTATAGTCCAATATATAACAACTGAGCCAGCCTAACTCATAAAAAAATAAAAATGTGCCGAAAACAGTTTCCTCTGTTTGCATAGAGACTTCTAAACTCCAATGCAGATGTTTAAGATTATGCACCAGAGCAACTTCTTTTATTTTTATACGCTGCCGAGCAATGATTACATATAGTCTAGTGTAACTATGTTGACGTAATTGCCAACTGAAGATGATCTGGAGTATTTTGTACTTATCTGGGGTTCCCTGCTCTCTGTGTAGATTCATTGATATGTAATACTAACCCAGTCATTTATTCAGTCTCTAACTTAAAAGTCTCAAATCCCATTAGGTGATTAGTGTGTAATAGGCACGAGAGAGAATGTGAGTGAGTATGTGCGGTGTTTGACAAATGCAAATGTTAATCTGTAGGAAAATATTATTGACAATACCACCACAACTTACAGAGGAATACAGTCCACAGCATCAATGGGAAGGTTTTATGACGTTACAGAGGCAAACATATGGGTCTTTTTCCACTGGCTGACATTATGGTTCCAGATGTTATAGTGCATTTGTTGTGTATCAGTGTAATTTTTTCCAAGCTGTGATGACAGATACATATTCTAAGAAGACATTCATATTTGTATGTGAGTAACTGTGAGCATGCTGACTTTCCACGTGTCGTTGTGTGAACCCCCTTAATTTAAGGCAGTGATACTTGGGTCACTTTTGAGGCAGTTGCAACAAGCTATTTTTTTCTTCCTATATTTGTATTACTTTTTTATGGCTGCTCTTGGTAAGAGAGATGATGCGGGCATTTCATGGTTTTCTTTTTCAACATTTTCTCATAAATTTATCCTGTTTTTTTTTTCTTCTTCTTTTTTTTCCATCTGCCGTGCCTCAAAATGTTTCTAGGTATCGTGGTCCAAAGCAGAGTTAATTATAATGGAGGCAGGACTCATAGAGATAAAGTTAATACAACCAGACTCAGGTGCACCAATTTTTTAAAATGCTTTTCAGTATTTAGCCACTGTGGATGTATTTTTATTTTTTTCAATGTGCATTTGAAAAAAAAAACTCAAATGTGAGAATAATCACCTTCATATTTGGGTAAATCACACAGTAAATCACATGCTTTGTTCTCAATTTTTGTGTATGAATTGGAGTGTTTTACCTGGGTCTGGTTCTGTCTCCAGCTTTATGGATCAATCTCTAATGGTGGTATCTGGGATAAGACAAAATATTTTTTTTTCCCTGTACCTAAATGACCAGTAATAATAAAGATTACTTAGAATCTGCTTCACTGCTTTTATCTTCCTTTGTAGTAAGTGTAAGTATTTTCAAGAGGAAAACAGACATGATTTATCTCATAGTTACATTCATCTTTTAAGCAAACTGGCTCTCTGATCTACTGTATCTTGCAAAAGTATACCCTTCTGTAAACTTCTCAACTTTATTTGTGACCTGTCTGCAGTATGATTTGGCCTTCATGAAGCCCATCGTAAAGCTAAGGTGAATTATGAATGCACAAAACTTTACTTCGGGGAATTAGGGTAAAAAATGCATGCAACATTTTTAAGATTTTCAATTTGCAACAAAAATAGTTATCCTCTACTTAATTTGGCAGCACATCAAAATGGCAACAGTCAAAGTGGTTTAAATTATTGTCCAAGTGACTGCATTTGTTGCAAATATGTGGAGCTCCAGCAGAGGGTGCTGTTTCAACGAGTAACTCTTCACCCTAGAAGAAATACAAAACAAGCCCCTATCACCCACAGCAGCAAAGTGGAACTTCACATGGTGCTGCTGTCCTTGGTACTGAAACCAACAAGCAGACCACCCTCTAACCACAGTCATTCATGCATTTTCTCCATTGTGATGGTAACAATGATAAGTCCTTTTACCAACAGATAGTAAGTCGTTGAATGTTGTTTGAGCTAGCATAATGTGTATGCTTTTCTCACTTGGACAGTAAGATTTAAAAGGACAAAAAACACAAACTTTTCCCAGTAATCAGACATAATTGTGAATTTATTACACTCCAAAAAGGAGAAAATAAATAAACAAGACAGGACACAATTAGTTCTTTAAAACTTTTATGTGTCAAATACAAAATTTATAAACAAAGTTGCCAAAAATAATAATACAAACAAAAATTTTCTAAAAATAGATCTTTAAATATTTTATCCAATAGCTTTAATATACATATTTGACAATATTTCTGAGAAAGATGCCTTGGAGTTACAAGATAATTGCATTGTGTCTTTTCATTAAGCATTTTAAAGTCAACATCAGAAACAGTTCAGGCAATCTGAAATATATATTAGACATTTCTACATTTCTATACAGCCTTCCATAAAATTAATAGTTATTGATTTACTGCTCCAATGTGGGTGTTTCAAAAGAGATGAAGCACAAACATAATCTGATATTGCCATTGTTAAATTAGAAACTCTTTCTATGTACTAATTGTGTTAATTACTGATATTTAACGAGATGCATAGAAGATAATACAGTAGTTGAAAAAAGCCTGAGTCATATTACTGACCTGAAAAGTGACACCCTAAGACAATAATCAAACAATTATCTCTTCAATAATACACCTGATAAGAAAACATAAACATTGTAGATAAACATGTGAAAAAGAGAAAGATCAAGTAGTTTTAAAACTGATGGAAGACTTGAAAACAACTGAGAAGGTGAGCTAGTTCACCATACAACTATCTGTAGAGAAAAAGTCGTGGTTTTATACACACTTTTATTCCCTGCCATTTAGTGGCTTTATTTAAGCCTTCTATGGATGTTTAGCAATTTGTGTATTACTGCTCTACATTACACGGAGTGGACTTTTAAAAAATTCTGAAATAACAAGGATTAGATTTTAAAAAGAGTAATGAAGGAGATCATTCTGGAAATAAACCTTTACTTTATTTCTACATAAATAGGTGTATAAATACCTATTTACTTACAAAAGCTAAACAGCTTTATAAAATTTTCTCTTTTCTCACTCTCCCTCTTCATATTCTTCAAATGTTTTGTGTCAAACTTCTCCTTTCAGTGTCCCAAAATGGGGATCGTGTTTAAGGACAATATTTGTTTTAGCTGAATAAAAGCTTCAGTTGTTAGTCTTAATGTTAATGCAATGGAAATCATTATCTCCTTAATGTTTTACACAAGGACATGCATAAGAGATGTATTGAAGTACAGCAAATACAGGCACTTGGAGTATGTAAAAAATATATTTACACTTTTGATCAGTCTTCTTCTACAAACAGTTGTGCTTTTCCTTATTGTGCCCCTGCATGCAAGTGAATAAGATATGCCATCAGTTTGGTATTTACTTGTCCTGCTCAAGTTTATGTCACTGGTCAAAGTGACCATTACTATTACACCCATAAAGGGTGGAAGTGTTCAGTTCCCAGCAGCACTTTCCCCAACTTTTCCAGAATCCACGGGTACCAGTGTAGCCCATCATTCTGAACTTGAAAGTGTCCTGTTATTCTGTAAATAAGTCTCAAAGGAGCCAAGACCCAGTGGGACAAATAGTGACTGTCCACGACAGCGTAGCAAGATGCTAACACGCTGTTCACCACTATAGACCCATGCTGGGTGAGTGGGGCATATAGCCCAGTGCTTGTCTGCTCCTCAACAAACGTCACAACTGAGAGTCTTGGATGTGACTCTGATCTGCCAGAAGATGTAAAGACACACTGTCCAGGCTGGACTTCACTGGCAAAAACTGTCCTCATACCTGCCTCATATCCCCTCCTCTGCCAAGTGGATCCAAAAAGCTTTGTGTCCTGAGATGTTTCTTCCTGCTCTGACCTGGTCAGTCTGCTGGAACATTCTGTGACAAAGATCAGGTGAGCGGCTGTGAGGGTGATGTTATGTCCCCCATCCGTCCTAATAACATAGAAGGTCCTTGTGGCATTGGGCTGGCGATCCAGAAAAGACACAACGGGGCTGTAGAGGAGTGGCGCATGGATATCTGCTGAGGAGGACGCAAGGACACGGTCGCCGGTGAGGAGGTCACGCATCTGTTTAATGCGCCCACCTTCAATGGTGACCTGAGCATCGCCAGGGAAACATCCTCCGGTTTTGGCTGCCACTGAATGCTCTAAAAGAAAAAGGAAAAACATCCATCTATTTATTTTATTTAATTCTATGAAGTTGTGCTCTTTGTTGAATGGTTTAGTTTGATATACAAAACATAAAAAAAGAAAACATAAAGAAGGGGGGGGAAAATGCGGTTGAAAGAAAGCACTGATACTTCCTAGCTTGGTTTTCTCTGTTCACTACACCTGCTCTTTATTCCTGGTCACTTAGTGATTCATAAAGCAGGTGAGACTTTGACACGGACTCAAGATCAACATTATCTCAGTTCAATCACTGAGAGGTTGTTAACATTTGTATAGCAGTATGACTCAGGTTCAAACTATTTGCTCTCTGCCTTTCGGCTCTCCCCTTATAACTGGAAATCAAGTGCATGACCAGAACAAATTTCAGAAACACATTTTCCACTTGCTTATGAGTTGACATATTTTATGAGTGTTGCTCTCACCCTTACTTATCTTGGATATGCAAAAAAGGAAAATCTGTAAACTGTAACTGGAGCCAATTCAAGTCTCCACATTTTTTGAGAATGTGATGATATTCACAAGATGACTGTAAAGAGAGTAATCACTGGAATTTCACTGACCTACTTTTGAAATTTATCATGTTTAATGGGTGCTGTTGTGAGAAAAAGAAAACAATAAAAAGTAATTTCAATATATGTCTGGGAAGAAACACCTCTTCACAAATAATCAACCTTTATTATTACAATTTTCAAAAAAATTCTAGAAACTCTTTAACACATTAACATACTGGACGTTCTTACGGTACTCACTGAAGCTCAATATGGATTTAGACCAAATAGATCATCTGCACTAATAGATAATACATCTTCTCTGGCCTAAAAACCATTTCAAATTGAAATGTTCAGTTACATAAAAATGGCTTTTGACATTTTACTTATGAGTAGTACATAATCAGATGTGCAGTATTATAATGGAAATGGAGGTATTTGATGATCAGAAAACATTTTGCTAAGAATTAATTTTGTCACATTCCTTGTGAGGTCCCCCAGGGGTCAGCATTGGGTCCAAAATTGTTTCTTTTTTTTATGATCTTTGCAAAGTTTATATTCTTAAACCAGTTTTATCTGCAGATGGCACTAAAATATTTTATTATACTGTGCTATAAATAATGAGAAAACTAAAATATATTTGTTATACCCAATGGCTAATCATAGACAAATTAGTTGGAAATCACATATAAAGTGCATAACAAAGTATAGAACCCTTTTGGATTATATGAAGCCAAAAGGGTTCTGGATAAGAAAATACTTTTAAGCTAATTTGAATAATGGTGTAAACTTAATGTAATGTTTGATGGGTTCAGTTGGAATGTATGTATAATTTAATTATAATGACTTATTTTGTAAAATGCCTTGAGATGACATGTTGTGTTTTGGTGTTAAATAGGTAAACTGAACTGAATTACATACATTGTTTTTTAGTTAATTATATTTGATTTGGAGAAGAGGTGGAATTAATTAAGTTTGTCCATGCCATCTTTGATATGAGATTTTATTCATTTTATTTTTTGCTTCTTACTCTTTTGTCTTCTTTACTGTTTATTATTTGCATTATTATGATTATTTAGGGTGTTAATCCACTTATTTGCTGTTGAAAAGCAGTTGTTGCTTCACACTAACTTTCAGTCAAAAGTAGTTGTCCTGTTAATAAGGCAACAAGCCTTATTAACTAATAAACAAAAGCAACTAAATCAATTGTTGGCTTTTTAGGCATACATTGATAAATTAAAATCAAATGTTATTGTTTTGTCGAATAGGTTTTGCATGTTTATTCTTCCAATAATTTTAAAATAAAACTTAACATAAATATCTATTTTTGTGCAGTAATTTAAAATTCTCAGTGAAGGTTACAAATTATCTTCAACCATCTTGTTGAGTATGACAGGCTGCAGGAAAGTAAGCGACTCAGTTCACCTCACTGCTCACTGTCACTTGCTTATTAGTCCTGCAAGGCAGTGATTTGATGCCATCAGCCATGTTTAGACACAAGTTGTTTTCTTTTTTTGATTATGTATAATTAAACTGTAACCAAATTGAATGTTTGAGATCAAATTAATGTTGTTAATCATCTATGACTGATAAACAAAACAAATAATATTTTGCTATATCCAGTGAGACTTGTTGGGTTAAGAAAATTAAAGTTTAACGTTTCACCTTGCTTCAGCTTTAGATAAAACATAGAGTACAAACTTTTAAGTCATAGTTGAAGATGTATGCTCTGTATAAAATATAGATTTTTTTCCCCCACAGTCTGATACTAAATCAGACTAAACCGTTCTTGTTTTAAGTCAGCTAGAGTTACCTCATTTATTTTAATTAGCCAAATGCCAGAATAACAAGATTATGCACCAGAGCAACTGGTATGTCGCCCTTCTCACTGAGTGACATTTCAATCCATGTGATCAGATTTCTCTGTGGATAGTGATATTGTCTTTACAGCATCTACACAAGTTCTTTTTGTTTGTTTTTTCTGAGATTGTTTCGCACAGTTTTGATTAAGATATGTTCATATCAAAGACACAGAACCTGCCTTCTTAAAGGATGGACCAATGACTGTTAATGTCCATAGTGTTCATAACGGCATATTTGAATGGAAAAGTGTGGCATGCTCAGGGATCTGGGAATTATATCCAAGGATTAAGAAATTAATTAAAATAAATAATCATTTAAAAGTAATTTCTTCATCTTTCTTGTATTTGGAAATTAGAAACAACTATGGTTATACTAACTCAAACAGCCAGAAACAAACAAACAAAGAAGCAATCAGGTCAAACAATGAATTTTTTTTTTGTCTTTTATTACAGATTATATGCATATGTCATTCAGCTGTATAAAATGGTAGATACAATTACTTAGTTATTGTTTGGCCTTTGAGGTGCATTTCTTTACCCAGAATTGTCTGCACAATATATCATGCTTAACTCTGCCTGGATTAATGTTCCCTTTAAGATGCAGTGAGATGAGGTGGCAAGAAAGTGTAGTCGGCAAGAGCTAATGGATAACCAGCTGATTGTATCACCGTAGTCCGAGCACGGACCGAGGTCACGGAGACAGGAAAGTACACAGACTCAGACGAGGTTCTAGATACCATTTGGACTGCAGAGATTTAAACCAAGTGACATCCTTATTTCTGGTTCCTGTGAGGTTCAAAAAATCCAGTTAAATCGGACCGAATTAAGAAATCAATCAGTATAAACGTGCATGTAGTTACTTTTGTATATGTGTGTGTGTGTCTGTGAGGGAGGCTTGTCTTAAGGCAGTCTCAAGTCAGCCAAATATTTGTTCAAGGTGTGTAGATGTGTGTGTCTCTGAAAGCCCGAAGGCTGCACAAAAAGGAGGCCTGTGATAAGATTCAGATAAGAGATCTGAAAGAAACTCACTGGAGGCAAAGCAACGGCAAAAACAAAGAGAGAGTTAATCATCTCACAGCCTACTAACCTAGGCAGTCTGCTAGAGTGTGGTTTGGCATCAAATAACTGGTGGTACCAGACGTGGGTATATGGGTTTCTAAAATGTTTCAAAAGTTACATGTAATGTTGTCACTTATTGTTTTAAGGACAATAAAGAACCTATGGTGGAAGATGTAACTTAGCTTTAACAATAGTACATGGCAAAAGCAGTCTGCCAGAAATGGAATCAAGGCAAAAAATTTAGACAAGATGGACATACAATAGTTTTCAAAAGTATTCATATCCCTCAAACCTTTTCAAATTTTTGTTTTGTGACAAAATTTTTATGAACTGTATGTTATACATTAACAAAAAATAGTCTCTATAAAGGAGAAGAAAATCGATGCAGATTTTACAGAATACATTTAAAAATAAAAATATGTTGTCCATTAAGAAAAAAAAAAGCAGCTTAAGCTCAGTCGGAGAACATTTATGAACTTAAATTCAATTTAACTCTAGTGGTGTACAGTGTCATTGTAACGGTTTGATCTAAACCAGGGACTTCCCCAAGTCCAGTCCTTAAGATCATCCATGCATCCATTCTCTAACACACACAAATCAAATGGCTGAATTCCCTCATTAGTACGTCACTCGGCTCTGTGGAGGACTGGCAATGAGCCATTCATTTGACTTGAGCATGCATCTAAAAATTGCAGGACAGTAGCTCTCTGAGGACACCACCCTGATCTAAACCCTTCCATCAGCTTTAGGTGATCAGTGTGAGGCAAACCTCCACTCCAGTCATTCAGGTTTTCATTCAGGATTGCCCTCAACTTAACTCGAGCCGTCACCATCAATGCCAATCAGCTGCCGAGTCCTTTTAAAAGGCGCAATAATTTCATTTCTCCACTAAATTCTGGAAAAATATGTATGTAAGACAGATATTATATGTGCCAAATTCTGTAAAACGAATAAATTTATCATAAGTCTTGATGATAAGATGAGACTGCATAAAGCAGAGATCACAGGTGCACACCTTGGTTTGATTGGTTCCCAGTAGGCTTTGCACACAAACACCTTCACAAAGTGATAACACAGGTGCTCAAAGGGAGGCTGTACAATCAGGGAGTCACCCCACAAGGTGTCTCGCATCAGCCTCGTTACTGCTAACAACAGCTGGCCACAAAAAGACACTTTCAAATTTTTTAAAGGCAGCTCTTACCTGACTTCACGCTACAGTGAACGTGGCCTTTAGACTCATAGTAGACCCAGTCAAATCCAGCCTCTACAGCCAGGCGGGCCAACATGGCATACTTATTTTTGTCCCTGTCAGAGAAAAAAGTCTGAGTCACAATAGCAAAAAAAAAAAAAAAAAAAAAAAAAAAGGAAACATCTGCAAAAGTCAGGAAATATTGAGTTTCACACTTACATTTTAAAAGCAAAATACATATAGTTTGCTTTTCGAAAGTATCACATGTTAGCTTGTTGATAGGTTTAACAAATTATTGATTACACCTACTAAATGTTAGTTGGCTAGACTCGAAATGTGTGCCAAGTTTATTTCTCTTACTTGTCTGAGGTGGTGATGTCGACAGCACGCCCCTCATAGTGCAGCGAGTCGATTGAGTGATGACCATCTTCATCCCAGGCCTCTGTTACTCTCAGCTTCACTCCTGGCCACATGTTCATCACAGAGATGGCCAAAGAGTTCAGCTTGTCTTTACAACGCTGGGCGAGACAAAGACAAAGCAAAAGTAGTTAGAGAAAAACAATCAAGGATGATTCAGCTTCTGTTTGCTTTTTTTTTTTTTTTAATCTAGCACCAATTCACAACAAATAATCTCTCGAAGCACTTCACACAACAAGCCAAAGAGATTCATTTCATAAGAATATATGAACAAACCCTTGCAAAATATTCTACACAAGAAGACTTTTCTAATCAATTACATATATTTGTATTTGATCATAGTCGTACGATAGAAAACTTGCACACAATCAATCAAAGATTTTTTATGTACATTTAAAATTACTGACCAAAGTGCTTGAAAAAGAATAAAATGTAAAACTTTAGCAATAAAAAACCAATAAAGAAAAACTTTAAGACACAAGAGGTTAGTCGAGAAGCTTTTTGTACCTCTTGCTTTGGTTCTAAATTTGTATTTGAGAATGTTTAGCAATAGATGTTATTTAAATATCAGAACTCGTGCTCAAGTGTGATGGTGCAGTTGTGTATAAATTTATAAAACCAAAGTTTATCTGTGGGGCTCCAGCTGTTTGAATTGAAGCACTCATTTTGCATAAATTCAATTGAATCAAAAAAACACGTCATTGATCCGAAAGCTGAAATTTAAAAATTCACTTAAATCAATAACTTATCAAACATGAGGTGATCAGAGGAAAGACTGACTCCCATTTAACAGGAATAACCTTGGTCCTGTTGGAGTGATACTGCTAAATTATTTCAAAACAGCAACCCATCCGATCACACCAAGTCACTGAGTACACAACAATCCCTCGTGATGAGCAAGCATGTGGAGACAGTGGACAGAAGTGACTGGAGAAATCTCTTGCAGGACCTGGTCCAGGAGGCGGCTTATGCCAGAGCTAGATGGAAATTAAGAAAATAGTGCCGACAGACAACGATCACAGAAACAATGGAGTTTGTGGCAAATACAACTCAATAACTGTCTTTAGAGGAGAAGCACTATAAAACAAAAAGCATTTTGCCAGTAGTACAAGAGTGAGAATTACAGTGCATCTATCTAGTTCAAGTATTATGGTTTTGTTCAGGAAATAGACAGGTTTATACACAGAATGACAAAGCCAGGTTGATCTTCATGAGATGAATGACAAAAAGATGATCTGAAAACATGACTTTTGATCAATGAGTTTGGCTTTTAGGCTATTCGGCAATGCCAAAAAATTGACCAACAGACTGCAGAAGTATCATTTAATTTAAAACAGCTCATATCAGTTCATAAATAGCTTTTTTTTTAAAGCAGAAAGAGCACAAAAAAAAAAGTTATGCACCGAAACCAAAGGTTTATGAGAATAACACTTTAAATAATTGCTCCAAGTTCCAACTGTGTCAGGTGAATGGTCAAAGTACACACAACTGTGATTGTGGTGTTTGCTTGAGATCCATTCAATCCGAATACACAAACCAGGCTGAAAGTCAAGGAGTGGACATGCATTTTAATGATTTGCAAATATGTGGGGTTATTGCGTAAAATAACCACAGCTCAAGCTGGCAGGATGGGACCGGGATAAAAATAGATGTCTCTTATGCAAAAGCATAAAGTGAATCGAGGGTTAGGATTACTTCCCAATGATTCACTTATGTGCGGTCAAATGGAAAATTATAGCCAGATTGGGGTCAAGGAAGGCAACACTTAAAGACAGCCTCGGCAGCTAAGTATGTCAGGTAGCAGAATCCAGAGGTGAAACCAAGAGTTAATGGAATCAATCACTTTGGTTTAAACATTTAACTGACAACAAACATTCAGCAGACAACTGGAAGCAGCAGCGTGGCTAATCTGGTTCATTCAGCTCAGTGTAATTTGATCTCCCTGATAAACAAACTGATCTCGAAAATGGCACTTTAGCCGAGATAAGACCCTTTTCCGTATCCCACCTCCCCCACCCAGCTTTACCTGAGTCATAAGCCTGTCTGCGCCCGTGTCCTCCTCATCTTTAAAGATTATGTCTGTATTATAGTTCGGCGTGAGCTCCTTGAAGCGCTCGGAGTTGCGCGTAATTTTCCCCTCGGGTCGCCCGCTCGCTCCCAGGGTCTTTTCGGCCACGTTTGGGCTGAACTGCTTGTAGGCGAGCGGGATGAGCTTCTTGGGGAGCCGCCTCTTGCCGTATCCCCTCCCCGGCCCACAGCCCTCCGAAGCAGGTGCGAGGAGGAGGACAGAGGCGCACAGAGAGGCTGCGAGAAAGAGGAAGGAGATCCGCATCGCCCCGGGGGAAGGAGGGAGGACTCTCCCGGGGGGAGAGAGAGAGATGTCTTCAGTGCCACTCCGGTTTAGTTTCCATTTTTCCGGGAAAAATAAAGCACCGCGTCTGAAAATATTGGATGAAATAAGGTCATCCTCTGGTCTCCATGAGGCACCATTGGAATACCAAAAAGTTTTTTGTACGTCTACAGACTAGAGGAACTCCGCTCTGAACCGCCTGACGGAATCAGCAGTAAGTGTGCAGGCAGTAAAGTCCGTGTATTTAAACAAACAGGTTCAAAGTCGATTTGGTGGGTGTGAGAGTTGAAGAGAGAGAGTGCGGCTGCTGACATCCAAGTTGCAGTGTTGTGGTTTCTCTGCCCTCCTCTTTCTTGTGCACCAGGGTATCTGGAAGAACATCAGCCTCTTGTGCGCTCTTTTTGCTCGATGCCCTGCTCTGGACTTCTGCATATGCGACAAGCTGCAGTTTTCCAGTTGAATTGAAGGGAATTGGGTGATCCACAGTGATCTGTTGCCACTTCAGACCGCACCCTGCCAGTCCTGCCCTCCCCTCCTCCCTCTCCTCCTTTCTCCCTCTGCGCTCTCTGTCCCTGCGCTCTGCCACCCAAACCCGCCCCTCCTGGGCACAGGGCGCACTGGAGAGTCCGGTCCTCATCTGCTGGAAGGCAGGAGAGCCTAAGGGTTTTCCCACCGTTCCTCCTCTGCCTTTGTCCTTGACCACTTTCCATGTTGAGAAACGATTTTTGAAATTGAACAACAAAATCAATTAATCTAATCAGTTTTGCAGAGGCTGCCAGTAGTTTCTCTCAACTGGATTCCAACCCCATGTGATCATGGGGGACTGGTTGTTTGACTTTTTACCAGTAGAGAAGTAGAATACTTTGCCTAAATGACTCACTGATTTATTGGGTGACTAAATGTCTGATTGATTTAATTACAGCACCATCAGGTTATGAGGGTATAATAGATAACAATTTTCTATCATGCATCAATATAAACCCTATAATGCTACCAAATCTGGACATAAGAAAACTGTTTTGCTAACGTTTTCAGAATTTTTAACTGCTTTATATTTAGTCACTTTACAAATACGCTTCAATATATTTATTCTGACTGCACAAAGTAGTGCATAATTAAAAGTAAACGGAAAATAACACAATTTTCAAATGTTGTTTATATACTGGATTTTGCCTTTAAACAAAATCCAGCATCAGTAACTTTCCCCACAGAAGGCATTTTCTTTCTAAATATTACAATAACAGCTCATCTAATATCAGCATAAGAGGTTGCAAAAGATACAGTTGTTTGTACCTCAGAGGTTTGTTAAAGATCAATGGTGAAAAAGCAACATAATGAAGACACAGGAACACTGGTCTTTATGTTGCTGTCATCTGATCAGATGAGCCCTGGCCTACAAACAAAATCCAGTATGGTGAAAGAACAGTTCTCCACATTTTCCTAGGCATATCACACACTTCAGTTTATTTATGTAGCATCAATTCATATCAAAGATACTCTACAAGTTTACAAAAAATAATTTCAAATCACCCACACAGACTTTCCAATTGGCCCTATTTATCAAACAGTACATTAAATTCAGACAATTATGTATGTCAAAGTACTTTAAAATGTTTTCAACCGGGTTCAGTACAAGTGGTCATCTGCACTGATTGATTGGGGGTTTAATAAGATAGAGCAGATACACAAAAATGATACAGAAGAATTTATGTAGGAGTACCTTCTATCTGAATGAAAAGTAAAAAGTTAACAGGAGAATAAGAACATTTAGTTGTTGGAAGTATCTCAGCTGATCCTCCCTCTGGGAAAGTACTATAGCCAATCATAACTTCAGACCAGATGTAACGTCTATGGAGAGAGAAAAAAGTGAAACATGTTGAAACATGGTAGTGTCAGCATTATGTCGTGGGTATGATTTTTTTCAAGAAGGATGTGGAAGCTGTTCAGAGTTGAAGCAAAGATGGATTGAGTTAAAGTCAGGGAAATCCTATCTGTCAAAGGCCACAAAAGATGCTAATCTTTGAGTTTCGCAATCACCCTAAACCTGTAGTCAGAGCTACAGTGGAACAGTGCAGCATATGTATGAACCTAGAATAATCAAATCAAAGTACAGACCTAAATTGAATTGAGAATTCAATCAGTAAATATGTAAAACTCTTAAATAGATGTCTCCAAAGACTTCCAGCTACAATTACCACTAAAAATAGGTACATAAAGTAGTGGCTCAGCAGTGAGCCAAAACCATAAATCATTTTTCTATTTCTCTGCAAACACAGATTATTTTATTTTGCTAACACATACAGTCCCAAAGAAATACAATTAAGTTTGTGGTTGTAACGTGTCAAATGTGAAAACTATATTTACAAAGATACTATCTGTATTTGATGCAATACATTTTAGTTCCTAGTTTTCTGGCTGCATGTGCATGACACACATGAAAACCAGCACACATATGCACATCAGCAAACTCAGTCTCTCCAAATTAGCTCTTCAAATATTTGCCAGGAGAAAATCAGTGGTCTCACCACTGTTTCTCAGGGCTGACTCCTTTGAATGAATTGAACTGTGCAGAGCTGAGGGTTTTCCACAATTTGTGTTTTATTATTTGTGGGTGTAAACACCATAAAGAATTTCTTACTGCACCGCTGCTTTTTTTGTGTATCTAGGCGGAACAGAGAAGGGCAAAGAGAAGGATTCCCAAACAGTAAACAGCCAGCTATAGCTGTGTTTACCCTCCAGCTAAAATAGAACCTCTTTGGACACTTGTGTAAATTGAAACTTTCCTGGGAGGGAACAAACAAACATGTTTGACAGAATCAAAAATTGCCATTAAGATGGTAAAGTTTCCATAAAGTAAGAAGTAAGTAAGTAAGAAGGTCATGATAAAGTTGAACTTTTCTGTAGGTAAAGAGTGTCTCTTTGCATTTCAAGAAGAAAAATATAGAACATTTAATAGAGTTTTGTTTTCTTTTCCATCCAATCTTCTGGTGGTTCCATTTGAAACAAATTCAACAAATTTCTAATAAGAAATTTCTGACGAGAGATTGGTCGGCGCATTACAGTGAAAGCCATAATGTGCCACTTGTAAAAGTGAATCTGTTGGGTTTCACTCTAGTATTCAGGAAGCTAGAATTGTGAGAGTTTCACTGCCAGACAAGCAGTGTATCATATCATACAAAAATGTATAACATGATAAAGAAGCATTACCCAGGTCTCAAATGTGAACTGTAGATGGCACAGTCACTTTTTAGTTGACTTCTTTCAGTTGTATTGTAATTGGTTCGTCCAAATGTGAGTATGTGAGGGGAAGATTTACCACTCAAAAAAAGAGCAGCCGAAGGAAAAATGTAACCCAGCTTCTAGACAAGACACAGTGTGTATTAGACCTCTGTCCAAAGGTTGCCTAATCCACCACTATCATCTCTGAAGCTCAGCAATTAACAAAGGTTATCTTGGTTGTTACCTTTAACACTTTGCACTTTTCATAAATTACATGTTTTTGTCAGGTGTAAGGTACCTTCAAAAAGAATATTGAGACATGTTTAGACAAGAAATCTGAGATTAATTTCATGGTAACTCCATGAAATAGAGGAGGTCTGATTTAGCTCAGTATTTTAGTTCACAAGTTTAAAATACATATTAGAAAATAAAGTCCTATCATGAAGAAAGGCTACATCAAAGACTTGGGACTCCTTGAAACTCTGTGAAAAATATAGATGGAAACATGGAAGGATCAGGGCAACCATTCGCTAATGAAACTTAAAAAAAATCCTTTGGTAATTGAGAAGGGTATAAATAATTTTCAACAAGCGTAATTGTTCTTTAATTTTTGTGACTGAAAATAAAAAAAAATGATAGAGAATTAATATTTCCACTCTAAAGCAAAGACTCACTTCTAAATACATTGATATGACCGTCCTTGATCTCTGTAAGATAAATTAATTCAGATTAAATGTAATATGTCTCTTTTCCTTTTTGTTTTCTATAGATTTAAGGGGGTTCAGGTGGAAGGGATTTGTTCTGTAACCAGCGAGTTGCTGGTTCAAACTTCCACTCTGTCTGTCTCAGTTATTGTGTCCTAAGGCAAGACACTTCACCCTCCTTACCTGTCGGTGGTTAGTGGCACTGATTGATTGGGAAACTCGCTTTTATCAGCCCCGCCGGCAGTTCTGACTGCAAAATAGCTCATCACCATCAGTGTCTTAATTTATCAGACTTGATAAAGAACAGTCAATTGACTATTTAGTTTTTAGAGTTTAATTTTCCAAACATGCCAATGCTTCTCACTCTATGGCTCTCTTTGACTCTGACTTTTGTGAACTTTAAAACCTGCTTGAATTTTAACAGATACTACAGATCTAACTTTATAAATATTTATTTTTTGAGAATGAGAAAACTACCTGTTTCAGCACAGATACATTCAAATATTTTTGAATACTTTTAAATCCAAAATAAATTTGACCCACTCTTCCAGTGGGTCAAAGAAGGCCTCTAATTCAATGTATGCTTGAGGCCCAGGGTAACATCGGGCAAACCATCCTGCAGGGTACAGTTCTGAAAAAGTGTAATTTTTTCTGAGATTCTGAGATTTCCTCAGGTACCAAAGTGTAACTCATGGTGGATCCTATGATGGTGAACAGGCCAGACTCTTCTGTGGTGACACATAGCTTTCACTTCCAGCTCTGAGCTTCCCAGTTGATAAGAGGTCATTTTCCTGGTATGTTATATTAGGTTTTATACAAAAAAATTCTCATGACGCGGTACAATGTATAAATTGTGAGCAAAATTCCTGTTGATTATTTGCCATTGAAAATCAATATGCAAATTAAATGTGAACCTGCATTTGCAGAAGCTTGGCTTTCCACTAAGTATAATCATTTTGTGGGTGCCAGTTGGTGCGTGTGAGTGTGTGTCTCATCCTTCCTTTGAAGATCATAAATACAGGAGTGGTTCAAGGCAAAACCATCTTTTTTCAGAGTGGCTGTCAATGCTTCAGAAGTGGTCACATTTTCCAATCCAGTCATCTCTCCCTAAATCCATTCATCTTTTAGTTAACTTATGCTCCCCTAAAAAGACACCATAGCCCTTCAAGAAGACAGCTTTCTGATCAGGTCAGACTAAATGGAAGCCTGATCTCAAACCAAAATCTTATTTTTTTTCCCCAAAACCATTTATCAAACTGTCAGTTTCTTTGACCTGTGCTATTCCTGTCACCTTTTTTCAGACATTTAAATGGTTTGCATGCTGCAAGGTATCAGCTAAAACATATATACACTCACATTAGGCCCCAAAAAGCATGGAAAAACAGACACACAAAAAAGACACACATATGCAGGCATGTGCACACAGTCACCAGGCCAGCTGACAAGCCAACCAAGCATCAGGCCCTCGCTCATTGATGTTTGTCAAAGTTATTAATTTTCTCTGTGAAATAAGAGGCCATGGTGGCAGGACAGAAGGAGATGGGTGCCA